CTGTGGATTAGCAAAAGCACCCTAGAACCTTAGCACACAGTTCGGGAACCTTAGCACAAGGCACATGCCCATCTATGGGGAAAGATTCTATCTGTAGCTATGTGACACATTCAATTTGACACTTCGGACTAAACTCTTGAGCCAACTCTTTTACAACTGTTTGTTTTATACTGTATATAGAAAACGGGTTATTTTATTGGATTGCCTTCCTGTAGATTTTTTTAATTTCCACATAAAATGTGTTCCTGTCAAAAATTTCTAAGGCAGCTATTAGAATTATATGACTAGAAATTTTACACCCAAACAGAAAGGAGAGGGGCAGAGGACTGTAGTTATTAGTACAAAGAGAAACACCTATTCCTCTCATTTCTGCCTATAAACTACATGTTCTGAAGGAACAGCATTTAACCTTGAGGGTGGGGTGCAAGGAGGCCATGTGTTATGGAAAGAGAACTGGAAATTGGAGTCAGTTGAAAGTGGTATTAACCAAACTTATGACTTTCAACCACCTTATCTCAAAAGTTTCTCTCAAGTTTAATATGCTAAAACCAACATACACATTCAAAATTATTTTGAATTTTGTTAGATTTTTTTTTCCATGATGAGCAAACACAAAAGTGGGTGCCTTCTTCCCAACATGAAACTATTGTGTAGGTGTCAAAAGCGTGTACATTTTATTTCAAAACTATCTACCTGAAACAAGTTTTGTGGTCCACTAGTTGGAGCCCTTTGTTAAGAGGTTACGATTTCAGTCAGATTTTCTAGCAGAGGCAAAGGGACCATGTCCTAAGACTCTTCAACCACCCAAAGTGCATTTGAACCAATTCATTTGTACACCACTTATTATTCAGCATTTGAAGCTTATTTAGTTTTAAAACTTATTTCAAGAAATTTAATGACCGCTTTCTGATTAAAATGAGCAGGTACCTACAAATATAATTTAAAATTAGAATTTTGGGGGCACCTGGGTGGCTCAGTTGGTTGAGTGTCAGACTTTCGATGTCAGCTCAGGTCATGACCTCAGGGTCCTGAAATAGAGTCCTGAGTCCAGCTCAGCATGGAGTCTGCTTAAGGTTCCTTCTCTCCCTCTCCCTCTGCCCTTCACCACCATCTCCACTTGGGTGCACGCATGCACATGTGCTCTCTCTCTCAAGAAAAATTGGGATTTTTAATTATGCAATATAAAAACTGGGGTGTGTCTACACATAGCAACTTAATTGAAAGTTTTTATAGAACTGTCAAGTTAAATATACAGATTATTCCATGAATTTCTTTCTTTGAATGGAATGGTCTGTGAATTGAGTTGATTGATCAAATCAGTGTTTTTACATAATTGTTTTCAAGTTATTACATATATTGAAAATATTCAATTTAATAATGCACCATTATTTTTACCTCCTTAGAAATTTGGAGGTATTTTCAGATATTAAGAAATAAGTAGGAAAAGGAATAACTAGATATGGATCCATGAATAAGTGTGGTTTCATGTTTGATCTCATTAATAGCAAATGCCAGACGAAGATCTGAGATTCTGATAATACTACATCAATAACTGTGAATTTATTTACATATTCATGGATTAAGAGTGGACTATAACATTCTTTAAAGATTCTTTTCTACCTGGATGGTTTGTTCTGAATTCTTAGCTGTATTGCTATTAATTTACTAGTCTATTGTTTACTGACATTCATTCTAGCAGTTAAGAGAGAATCCAGCAACTCCATTCTGTGGTCCCCATTCCATGCCATATTTCTCCCATTACATTTCTCAAGGAGAAAATATTTTTATGTCCAACTGAAAGCTTCCTCCCTCTTTGGAAAACAGAAGATATTAACTCAATCAATGACAGTCAGGTTCCCCCAATTTTTTCTTAAGATTTATTATTTATTTTAGAGAGGGAGAATGAGAAAGCAGGGGGAGGGGCAGAGGGAGAAGGAGAGAGAGAATCCTAAAGCAGACTTCCTGCTGAGTACGGTGCTTGCCACCTGCAGCAGGGCTGGATCCCAGGACCCTGAGATCACGATCTGAGCCAAAATCAAGAGTTGGCCACTTCACCGAATGAGCCACCCAGCAGCCCCCAACTTATGTTTTTATTTTTTTTTCCTGTTGAGAACATTTTAATTTTCTTATGTTGTTCCAGAGATTTTTATTTTATTTATTTTATCAAGTCACATAGTCTAAACAGAAAAATTTATCATTGATACCTTCTTTGAGTGGATTGATGAAAAGCATTTGAGTTTTTGATACCAACAAATACATGTTTCATATTTACTTGAAACTCATATCAAAATGAGGTGGTCAGCCTCTTTCATTGAGAACTACCTAATAATATTCTAAAATAACTGACAAGCAGAGAAGTCACACATGGTGGACAGTAATAAGAAAGCCCATTAAAGAGAGATGGCAAGATTTGTGTCCTTCCCTGTCTCTGTTCTTTCCTGAAATGTGATTAGGGAGGAATAGTCTGGACTATTTACTGATTCCACCCAAACTGACTCAAAGTGCTGGAGTATCAACAAGAGTGGTACTTTCTTTTGCTACTGGCTTCTTAGTTTTAGAGTTTGGCAGGATGCTAGTTTCAAGCTTGCCAGCAGCTGCAAAGGCTTTATTCTATTTTATTTCCAAGGTTACAAAAAAATGGTATTATTTATAATTTGAAGCACCAAAGATATAAATATCAAATGGTTAATATATGAACAATTTTAGAAAGGGAAAAATTTCTCCATGCCACATCACATTAACGCTGAACAAATCTAGTATGCCAACTCTGTCAAATGGGAGTGAGGTAGAGGTGTTCTTGACCTTTTCCAGGCCTCGAGTTACACTATTGTTCATACTCAATATGGTTTTCTCTTCAGCACAATATTTGCTAACAGGACTTATTTCTACAGTTGCTTAAAAAAAATTTTCTTTCTGGAAAACAGAACTAGTCTATATGTATATATTGCAGGTGCAGTCTGAGACAACTGATGATTTTTTAAAAGTGTCTTTTTTTTTTTTCACTTTAGTAACCAAGGTTACCAAAAAACACATTGGCAACATGTGTTTAATGTGAATAGTAATTCCTTAGGAAAATGGAAACAAAACAAAACAAAAAATATTTTATGATTAAAAACTCAGAAGTTAATGTAACAACAGAGTTTAAAATTCTGTGTTTAGAATTTAAATTATTCTTATAATTATATATTTAGCATATAAACATAGCCCTTAATTGTAAAAACATGTTGGTGTTTCTGGATGAATCAATCTACAAAGTTAGAATGATATGGAAATAATATGAAATGAATAAATTCAGGATCCAGAGCGAGAACACGGTCTTAAAACATATGAAACTGAAGTCAAGAGAAAGATGTGCATAAAGAATGTAAAAAAGGCAAATACCACACAAGTGTGAATTTTTATAGTGCTGAGTTCAGTTCACTTTTGTCTAGACTCCGTAGTTACAATCTACTCCTCTCAAATGGCTTTGTGTATTTGAAAAACTATATCCCATTTCTTCAGTATTATACAAAGAAAGGTTCAAAGACTGGGGATAAATGTTAAAATGTGAAAATTCAAAACATCATTGAGCAGGAAGCTTAGATCTGATTTCTAGAATGCTGGACAGAGTTTCTCAGATGCAGAAAGTACTGAAGCATAGCAAGATGTTAATGGGGCAATTTATTAACATATAAAGGAGCCCAAATATACTGGATTTTACAAAATAATATTCTATACGAATAGCTAAAAGATGATATTCCATTAATTGTTTTCAATTATGTTCTACTTTTATTAATGAAAATATTTCAATAAACTTGCCTTCTCTGTATTTTTTATGGCCATGGTAATAGGGTTCTATAAGATATGTTACTTAGCAGTCTAGACTCTCTTTGGAATTTGCTATGATTTTTTTTTTAAAGATTTTATTTATTTATTTGACAGACAGAGATCACAAGTAGGCAGAGAGGCAGGCAGAGAGAGAGAAGGGTAAGCAGGCTCCTGCTGAGCAGAGAACCCGATGTGAGCAGAATCCCAGGACCCTGAGATCATGACCTGAGCCGAAAGCAGAGGCTTTAACCCACTAAGCCACCCAGGGGCCCCTGCTATGATTTTTATTTAACAGATTATGGTTGGCATTTGGCTATTTAAATTTTAGAAAGTGAAGTATTAGACTGTTTACCAAACTAACAGTATACATTTTCAATTCTGGTAAAAAGGAAGTCATAAAATCACAGACATCTAGATATAATAAGTTATATAAACAGTTATCTTAGCCTAATATCCCACATAGTGTAAAAATGTCCTTGTAGTGTTTGTAATGAGGTGGTCATTCCTTCATTCATTCAATCAACAGGTAATGGAATGTTGTGCTAAAAGTTTAGGTATAATAATGAATAAGACAGAATCAGCACCTGCCCTCAGAGAACTTACAATTAAAATAAAAGAGAAAAAACACAGGATCCAAAGGAACTAGGAGAAAGGGATCTAACTAGGTTAGGCAAATTTTCTCTGATCTGAGTTGGAAGGCATTTATTCATTGACAATATAAGTCCAGAGTCAAGAAAGAGTATGGTTTGGTCTAAGAACTGAAGGAAGACTACTGAGAAATTAGGCTATAAATATAGGGAGGATATAGATAATAAAAGGCCAACTAATTCATATTAAGAAACTTGAGTTTATCTTAAAAAACAATGGAAAGCAATTGAAAAGCATATTCCTATCCTATCTTTGCAAAAACAAACTGAACCTGAAAATTATATTCATATTACAAAAATACACTGGAAATGGAAGTGACGAAACTGAAATATAAAGAGCAACTATTGGCTTCAGAAGCACAGAAATAACCTAAGTTCTTTTAAATACCAACATAAATCCTTTTCTATACTTTCTGTGTGTTTCTTCTTTAAAATAAAAATGCAATATGGGTGATCTCATTTCTTGGTGTGGCAGGAATATTAAATTGCCTAATTTAAAGCCATGCCCTCCACCCACTCCCAAATGGAAAAATCAATGGTACTTACTACATCCAGCCTTATAGCTGAAGCCTGGAGGAAGGAGGAATCCTTGCTGGGCAGCTGCAGCCAGAGTCCGTTGATCAGGAGGGAACACGGGAATCATTAATGGCGGCAGTTGACCTTGAACCTGCTGAACGTTATAGAGAGAATCAAAGAGACGAAGTTTTGGTGCTCCATGCCTCCCACCCTCCTTACGTTATGATAAAGAAAACCATTTATTCAATTCAAGTATACTGGCATACAAGCCCATACACTGGGCCTGAGGTCATGCCTTAGACAGGAAAATTAGAGTACACTATAGTTGGAAAGTGTTACCAAATTTACTTTCTAACCTAAGGAATAATTTCCCTAGATATCCTACACGAAGTACCACTACGTCATACAAGAAAGCCTTTTCTTATTGCCCTAATGTAATAATGGTTAAAAAAATCACCCTTAGGTTGAACTAAAATCTCCTTCAGTAAATCCTGTTAGGGATGATGCTACCTTCTAAAACAAACTTAACCAAACTGGTATCATCTTACATATAACTAGCTTTTCATTATTTGAAGATAATTGTCATGTTCACATAATACTGCAATTTTTTTGAACAAAAGAGCTGGCAAAGAAACTTAGAGAGTCACTAAGACTTTCCCCTTGGTTTATAAAAAGGTAACCAGGGCCAAAAGAGGAGAGACTCATCCACGGCCAAGGAATGGGAGAGTTAGATTAGGTCTAAAACCCAGTCGCCGGAATCTCGTTCTGTGTTATACTTTTGTCTTCATCTATCTTTTTACAATCAGTTGAACCACTCCTCAAACCACAAGGTCTCTGTTTTGGTTGCCATCTTTGGCATACACACTAATTTGCTTATGTCACTCTCAGAATATGGGGTTCACATCAGTAAATAAATAACTGAGCACAAAAGAATCACTATCTTCTTTGAACTGAGCAGAGATTTCTAGAAATATAACCTAATATAGTCATTTCTGCAGCAATATGACATTAGTGATTAATGGAAAGGTTGTCATCACTAAAATAAGTTGGCTTTCCCCCCCAAATATTTAATTAAGCAAGATCACCCTGGTGAACAGGATTACTGGTTAGTGTTTGTCACTAAATATATGACCAAGAATTTAGGATCATACTAAAAATCACATATCTGACACTTCATTCTCCCTTACTCTTCCCTTTCCATGCATTAATTAAGTCATTTGGAAAATATTTAATTAACACCTACTATGCACAAGAAAATGAGCTTGTCAGTAGGGAAAGAAGAGTGAACAAGAAAAGCAAGATTCAATGTAATGTCTGCCCATTACATTAGAGTGGGCACAATGATTTAAAAAAAACAAAAAAACAAAAAAAAAAAAAACGAAGACAAAACCAAGGAAAGATTGCAAATTCACTCAGTTCTGAATCCTAACAAGAACACTGAGCCATCCCTCAGACTTGTTTTCCGTTTCTTTCATGGGCACTGAACATTCTTGGGGCACGGGTGATTCTCATAGAGCTCATGGTTTCTCACTTTAGAAGTCTACCTTCAGTTTGCCCATTATTTCATCTTTCACAGTAAAGCTCTGAGCTATTTCTGAGATTTTGGTTGTTGAGTGTGCACTGTGGTTTGGGTGGGGAAATGTCTGAGAAAAAGGTGGGAGGGAGGGGGAAAGAGACACAGAGAAAGAGACAGAGAGAAACATAAGCACTACAAGAATGAGAGATCTGCTTTCAGCAATGGCTCCAAATTGGAAAGCATTTCTTTTAGCCAAAAAGATTTTAAACCTATCACTGCCACCAGAGTGAAACTAAAAAGGAATGACAACAAAACAGGAATACAAAGAGACAGTGTCTTAAGGTTAGCTTGTAAGATTGAGATCACTACAGCCAACAATTTTTGAGCATATTGGAGGAAAGATATACCTTACGTAGAAACCAATGGAAAACAATTGATTAAAGACTCAAAATTAGAGAGTGCATATTGAACAAGTTTGTAGGAATAAGTGGTCTAAAAGCATCCGAAGGCAAAATCGGCATGGGTGCACGTTTACTGCAAGAGGACACCGGGCAGAATGGACAAGAAAGAAAGAAACAGCGAAATCAGCTCCTGTATGTATTTTCTACTTCGTTGTTTTTAAGTTATCATATTGTATACAGCTCATCTCCTCCCTTTGAAGGTATCATCGGTTCTACGATGTCCAAATAAATTTAACAGCAGCATTTTAGAGGGAAGAAGAAAGGGACTTCAAATGAAAGGCATGTAAGGGTTATAAGAAGTACCCAAATTTCAGATACCTTAAAATTTGGGGAAAAAATAACTTTCAGAATTGTAGAAACAATAGGTTCTTGTTTGACTGTAGGAGTTCTCAAACTTGAATGCATATTAGAATCACCTGGCAAGCTCTGAAAAATTCTCAATGCCCAGACTGCTTCCCACGCCAGCTGAGTTTGAATCAATAGGGGTGAAACCCAGCCATGAGCATTTTTTAAAGTTCCCCTGATGATTTCAATGTGCATCCAGATTTGAGAAGTACTGTCTTAAAGAATGCTTTCAGTCACTGTTGACAAATCTTTTTGTCTCCTTCCTGTTTTGCATTGAGTTATAGAGTACCTTCAGGTATGTAAGCTGTTGAAGGGGAGACGGCCTGACTCAGAGGTTCTGGGGCCTGGCGGGTAGAACCAGATATTAAGCTAGATGGCTCATAGAATTCCTTCTAATTGAGTCTTTTATCTGTTTTTATATGTCTCTTTTGTGAGAAACTTGTGATGGTTTGCTTTTACCTAGAGAAGAACAACCAAATCCCTCAGTACAGTATTCAAGATTTTTCACAATTTGTCTTCAGTCTGTCTTTCTAGATATGTTGCTCTTCAGACGCTCTACTCTTGCCTCAAAGGACCACGAAGAGTTCCTTGCATACTCGGTGTTTTTCCATGCCTGAGTGTGTTCAAAAGTATTTTTCTCCTCTGTTTTGAGTGATTTCTCTTTTCCTTTTATTCTTGGCAAAATTCTACTTATTTTTCAAAGGCTTTTGAGACCCACATAATGTGTTTGCCTGTGAAGCTCTTCTTTCTTGTGGTGCCAATTTTCAGGCAGAAAGAACTGTTACTTCTTTTAACCTCATAAAGCTAATACAATGCTTACTGTATTGAATAATAGTTACTTGTATAACTCGAGTCTCCCTGATGACCTACGAGCTTATTTAGGAAAGAGGTTGTAACTTATTACTGGACCTCTAGAGCTTAGCACAGCAGCCAAAACTATTATATATGTATATTGATAATTCATGAATAAAGAAGAAGAATGAATTACATAGTCCCATCTTTTAAAATTCATCTTTGTGCACCAACTCCCAATGTCCACAAAAGGCCTCTGGGTAACTGTTGCTTACTGACCAGAAAAGAATCCAATTTCACCAAAGAAGAATGACAGCATAAAGTACTGCTTCATGTTCTTATTTTTAAGGCCCAGCTAAATAGTCACATTACCATTATGTCCATGAGTCTTAGAATTATGATGCATGAAGAAATAGAAGAGCAATCCTGATATATTAGAAACTTATTACATATTTCTGTAATGGACAGATATGTCTGCCTATCATATTCTAATATCATGTTGTTTAATTATACCTTTCCAGTATGTTTTAATAATAGGTAAAGTTACTACTCTATCATTACTATTTTCTTTTTCAAATATTTCCTGGATTTTTTAATATTTATTTTTCCACATTAATTTTAGGATATGGAATTTCTATTTGAATTCATTAACCTGATGGCTTGATAGCCAATAGCAGGCCTTATCTTTTAATTTATTCAAATCTTGTGTTGCTTCATATAATTCTTATAAATTTTTGGTAATTTTATTTTTAAGTTTGTTTAAAAATACTTTTATTTCTGGAGTGTCTAGGTGGCTCAGTCAGTTAAGTGTTCGACTCCTGGTTTCGGCTCAGTTCATGATCTCAGGATTGGGGATTGAGTGCCACGTCTGGCTCTGCGCTCAGTGCAGAGTCTGCTTGGGATTCTCTCTCTCTCTCTCTCCTTGTGCCCCCTCCCAGCTCCTATACTTTCCCTCTCTCTCTAAATAAAAATATAAAATCTTGAAATATATTTATAAAGGGAAGGTTTTCTTATTTTTTTCTTATATTGTTTAGCTAGTTTTTGTGTGTACATAGACTATTTGTGTGTGACAGTTTTTATCCAGGTAAATCACTTAAACCCTAATAATTTAACTAATTTTTCAAGTAAAAATTTGAAAATTCTAAGTGATATATGGTAATGAATTCCAGTGCTTTTAAAAATCTGTGCATTCTGAACCTTTTGTCTTATTACAATTACAGAAATGCATTTTGCTTTAGTTTTATAATTTCTTTCAGTGTCTAAATTTTCCAAGATCTACATATATAGAATAATAGAGTTTTGAGGTTGAGAAACAGTAAAATAAATATAATCCAAAATGTGTGGCTAATCCACATATGCAACTTAAAAATGTGTCTCAAAATACAGTTACTCATTATTTGTAGAATCTATATGTGCAAATTTGTCTACTCACTAAAACGTGTCACCTCTCCACACCCGAATTTACTTGTAGCAGTGCTCCTGCAGTCACTCACAGACATGTGCAAAGGAGTAAGACATTTTGTTGGTGATTTCACCATTTAAAATGCATATAAAATCAATAATAAATATTAATAAGGTGTCTTTAAAAAGAAACACACATAAAACAAGGTTATGTGTTGATCACATAATGGCGTGACCAAAGGCTCTGAGGAACCTAACTGTACTTTCCCCAGGAACGATTGTTTGATATTTGCTAACTCAGCATTCATGCCAACTTTACAGAACATAACTAGTGCCAATAATGAGTGCCAATTGTCTTACTGCTAAACCTTAACTAATTTTCAGTTTATTGTTACTGAAATTTGGTCACCTTTTGGGAGAAAAGGACACATCACATTAAAACTGTGTAATGTTTTCTGAATAATTCTAAAACTAGTTTCTTAGAGGGTTAGTAATTCACACATATTTACAGTTTTGAATATTTCCAAATCCTATTCACTATTAACTTCATTTATTTTCTTTGACTTAATGCACGGAATTCCTTTTAAGCTTCTAATTAAGGTTTAAAATGTGTGACTTTTATAATTAAGTTTCAAT